ATAACCGTCTAAACACTATAATACGTTAAATTGTCAAATATGCCAGGTCTTACTATCCCAACCATTATTGATAAAAAAGCTAAATCACAGAAATTCATTAATAATAGACCGGGATATGATATGAAGTATGTTAACTCGTATATTCTAAATTATTGTGGTATTAATGATTATCAACGATTCTTTGATAAACTCTTTGAAACTGAAAGACAATATGATACTTTATCAGTTATTCGACCCAATGAAACTCCACAACAATGGGCTATTTGGGTCAGAATTTCTTTACAAGAGCTAGTCTTTGAAAAGAAAAGAAGCGTATATCACGTATATTGTTTATTTGGTGCATTTGGAAATTTTAAGCTAGTCAATCATGACTACTACAGACCTAGAATTCACAAAACTCATATGGCAATTTGTCTTGATTGCTGGCAATTGATTCAAGTCAATGATGTGAAACCAAAGAAAGTATATGCTTCTGCTCTCTATAGATATGTTGAAAAGATTGAACCGGCAGATTTGATGAAGTATCATTGGGATAATGAATGTGATAAACCAAAGACTGATTTCGGAAAAGCAAGGATTATACAAAGAGCTTGGAGACGATTCCAAGAAAAAGAGCCATCAAATGCACGACTTGCATGAAATAACTTACCAAATGATAATACTCCAGATGATAAGAAATTTTTAGGTTTAACTCAACATAAAATAAGAAATCCTCAGACTCGAGAACAATTTGATCAATGGCGTACTAAATGGATTACAATGTATAAACAATGTAATTTAAATATTCCTGTGGATATTTATGTTAGAAAATATGAAGAATATATTAATATTATTCCATATAATTGGATAGAATCTAAAAAGAGTCAATTGCAGATTAGATTCCAAAAGCGACTTTTAGAAATAGAAGCATAGTATTTAATCAATTATATAATTTAGTCACATAACCTATTTATCTGATTAATATATCCCGCCTTCTCGCGACTCCATCACTCGGCACTTCATGCCAGCTCACGCCGAAGCCAGAAAAGTAGATGCAGAATGTGTTACAAACAGTAGATAACGACACATATCTTTTTCCTTTGATTTTTTCATATCAACCCGTTTTATGAACCACAAAAATCCTTAGTGATGCCGAAGGGTCATTACTTCGCAATAATAGATCATGCTTGTTATTATCACACATCTACTTAAATTTCACATCGGCTGGAGACGATCAGCTTCTTAATAGAAGTGGCTAATAAGATGTATATTATATTATTGTATTAATAAATAACGAAAAAAATAATTATTATCTCATCATCCTCTACTCATTAGAAAGATCAAGAGGTTGGTCCCATCCCTTGCGAAGATATAGAGGGTCTTCTTTTGCTCTAGTTAAAT